GTGCTCACCAGACAGGGCAGTGCAGGCGGCTCGGGCGGCTCGGGCGGCTCGGGCGGCTCGGGCGGCTCGGCGGGTCGGCTGCTGGGCGGCTCGGGCGGCTCGGGCGGCTCGGCGGCTCGGGCGGCTCGGGCGGCTCAGGTGCTGGGGCGGCTCGGCTGCTGGGGCGGCTCGGCTGCTGGGGCGGCTGGGCTGCTGGGGCGGCGCAGTTGCTGGGGCGGCGGGGCCGGGAGATGCAGCTGCGGGGCCGTTAGGGGTAGTGGCGGGGCCGGTAGGTGAAGCGGCGGGGCCGTCAGGTACAGCAGCGGGGCCGGCAGGTGAGACGGCGGGGCCTGCAGATGCAGCAGCGGGGCCGTCAGGGGTAGCGGCGGCGCCGGTAGGTGCAGTGGCGGGGCCGTCAGAGGGGACGGCGGGGCCGTTAGGTGCAGCGGCGGGGCCGTCAGAGGGGACGGCGGGGCCGTCAGGTGCAGCGGCGGGGCCGTCTGAAGCAGCGGCGGGGCAGGCAGAGGGGACAACGGGGCCGTCGGGTGCAGCGGCGGGGCCGGCAGAGGGGACGGCGGGGCCGTCAAGCGCAGCTGCGGGGCCGGCAGAGGGGACGGCGGGGCCGTCAAGCGCAGCGGAGGGGCCGGTAGAGGGGACGGGGGGGCCGTCGCAGGCGATCGCGGGGCCGTCAGAGACGGCGCCGGCGTCGCAAGGGTCAGAGGGGGGCGGCGCGCGACTGGAGGGCGGCACGCGCGACGCGGCGCGGCCGTCTAGGGGCGGCGCGACGAGGCCGCGTAGGTGGCGTGTCAAAAATTCGCGGGCGGCTCGACGCGATCGGGCCGCCAAAGGAAAAAAAAAAGGCCCAGCGCGACTCGGGCTAGGGCAGAGCACGCTCCGGGCAGGACGGAATAGTAGGTGGGCCCTAGGAACAGTTCCCACTAGGGAACCTGCTCGATACCATGTTGAGATAGAGGCGAGGAATGGTTGCACTATGAAATGAAACAAGTACAAGTACCAACCCTAATTGGGTTGTACCCCCTATGGGCTACCCCACTACAGCCTAGATATATGCATCAGTAATATAATCATCTGACAAGGGCAGGTCGGGCGGCTCGGCAGGAGGGCGGCTTGGCGACTCGGCGGCTCGGCTGCTGGGCGGCTCGGCTCCCGGGCGGCAGGGCGGCTCGGGTGCCGGGCGGCTCGGGTGCAGGGCGGCTCGGGGGCGGGGCGGCTCGGCTGCCGGGCGGCTCGGGTGCAGGGCGGCTCGGGGACGGGGCGGCTCGGCTGCACTACGGCTCGATGGTCCGGTGCGGCGGCTGCTGCTGGGCGACTCGGCTGCTCCGGTACCGGGTGGCGTGGCGGTCGGCTGCGTGGGCGGCGGGGCCGCGTAGGTGAGGGCGGCGAGGCCGCGTAGGTGAAGGTGGCGGGGCCGCGTAGGTGAAGGCGGCGGGGCCGCTCAGGTGAAGGCGGCGGGGCCGCGTTGGTGAGGGCGGCGGGGCCGCGTAGGAGAGGGCGGCGAGGCCGCACAGCTCAGGGCGGCGAGGCCGCGATAGGAGGGCGGCGGGGCCACAAGAGCAGGGCGACGGGGCCGGGATGTAAGGGCGGCGGGGCCGCGACCGCAGGGCGACGGGGCCGCGATCAAAGGGCGGCGGGGCCGCGATGTAAGGGCGGCGAGGCCGTGACGTAAGGGCGGCGGGGCCGCGACAGCAGGGCGACGGGGCCGCGAGGTAAGGGCGGCGGGGCCGCGAGAGCAGGGGCGGCGGGGCCGCGATCAAAGGGCGGCGGGGCCGCGAGAGCAGGGGCGGCGGGGCCGCGATGTAAGGGCAGCGGGGCCGCGAGGTAAGGGCGACGGGGCCGCGATCAAGGGGCGGCGGGGCCGCGATCGTAGGGTCGGCCGCTAGGGCGGCTCGGTAAGAGAATGGCCCAAGGCGCGACTCGGGATGAGTGCGCTTCGGGCAGGAAAAAAAAAATCGAGTGGTGGGCCCTAGGCGCAGTTCCCACGGGGGAACCTGCTCGATACCATGAGAAGAATAGAACGAGAATGAATGAACTATGAATGAAGTGAGTACATATAGGAAACCCTAATTGGGTTGTACCTCCTATGGGATACCCCACTATAGCCTACACAACAGCATAAGCTATATAACGTTCTGACAGTTGCCGCTGTGCTTAGTCCTGGGCCTCCCAGTATGGGGGGGTGTCAGTAGATCTGCACTGTCGATGCCCGATTGATCCCGGAGAGGGTTACAGGCGCGTTCACCTCGGGGGTTATGGGCGTACTGACCCACTAATGAAACAAGCCCTTTTATCCCAATGGTCTAGTGGTTGGGATTCTGACACACCCAACGAAGACAACTGGGTTCCTGTGGACAGAATCGAAAACCACCCCGTCCTCACCGAGTATCTGCGCAGCCGAAACTTCAGGGATGTACACGGGCTTTCGTAAGGAGGACCTCCTTAGAGCGGGGGGGGGGGGGGGGGTAGTGTAAGGAAAATTCCTTTTCCTTACTTCGCGTCCCGGCTCAGCGCGTACACCACTGTAGCACCACAGTCAGCACCGTTACCATTCGCACATCTCGCATCGACAATCCTCCCGCCACCTTCGCACGTCGCACCCCGACCTCACGGCTCGGCGGGTAACCCGCGCTCCGGGCCTCCGCTTCGACATTTCCCCCAACCTCAGTCCCAGGCCCGTCGCGGGACAACCACAGTCCATTACAGTTACCACTGTAGTTTCGCTATATATTCTTCGCTCATTCCTTCGCTCATTCCTTCGCTCATTGTACGCTTGCTTCGATAGTGCAATTCTCGCTCGATCACTCAACTGCACTCGTAACACCTAGATACTAGCGCAATATGTCAAAACCTCCAAAACCGAGGTTTTGACGGTTTTGCATACAATTGCAAAGGGTTACCATACTATGGCCTTGTTCGGGAGAACCAGGGGAAGAGGAGGAACAGTACTAGGCTCGGAAGCCCAAAAATCGCGTGCGACCCCATGCGACCACTTTCTTGACCAAACCTCGAGGTTTGGAAACATCAACCTCTTCTTCTCCTCTGCAGCGGCTCGAGATTCCGAGTCGCTACCCCTACAGTAATCACACGCAAAAGTGTCCTCACTTTCTCCTCTCCATTCTCTAGCGAGGAGAAGATGAGGATCAGAGGTCAAAAAAATTTGGTGGGCATCTGGGTTTCTACATCTTGATTACCCAGGGCGGACACAAACGAACGAAAAAAGTTGAGGAAGCCCTAATGCCTTGACTTTCACTTTGTTTGGTGGTTCTTTCTGTTGTTTGTAGGGTTATTTCGTCTTGGAAAATGTGGGAAGTGGGATGGAGAGGAAATGGGAAATGGGAAGTTGAGAGAGCATCATGGCGTGTGCAAAGTGTGCAAAAACTCGACGTCGAGCAACGTCGGTGAATTTCCACCCTCGGATCAAAGGTTCCAACCGTCAGGATTCACCGACGTTCCTCTAAGTCGAGTTTGTGCAGCACTTTGTACACGCCTTCAGAGATGGTAGGTGCGATTTGGCATCTTGACCCCCGGCGTGCCAAGGTTGTCATTTTTGCTCAAATTGGGGCATTGACTATGCAAACCCCTGTCATTTTCTCCAGCTGGCAAATCTGAATGCAATGCTGTTCATATTGTACAATTGACCAAATGGTGTGTTGTCGTTTTTCTCTTTGAGGCTCGGTACAGAGCAGCATGCTCTTCCTTTGGTTGAAGCCGTGGCCCAACTACACCTGGGCTCCACTAATTTCAAGCCCTGGAAAATGTTTTTCACTTGGGCGCCCAATTTTAGTGGAGCCTAGGTGTATCAACTTCAACTTCAAAGTACTGTATTATAGCTTGGAAGAGGTTGACCCAGCCGAGAAGTTTGTCCTCTTCTGGTTTTCCAGTTTTTTCGTCCAATAGATTTCAAGTTACTCACATGCCATTTTTGTCCCCCTACTGTTCCTAAGATGTTGCACCCCGCCTTTGAGGGGCTCCCGAACAAGGCCTATGTTGCATGCCAGTGATGTTGGCCCTCCCTCGATCCCTCGTCCTGAGGAGGTCAGGGGGCAATGTTCTGGTCCCAGAAGGTTCGACAGGCCTGGCCCGTATGCAAATGGATCACTGAAATCGAATGATCTGACCTGTCCGAGTGTGACCGTAGATTGTACGGTCACACTCTGTTTGTTTCTCCCTTGGGTGTACACCCTGTTTCTCGATGTTTGAACAATCGGGAGCCCCGGCTACAGTGCGCACGTGTGCTTGGATTCAGCGGGCTGGTGCTTGCAACCGAAATGCACTTCAGGAGAACGGTAGACAACGGTTAATGAAAACAAACGTGCTTTTGAGTTCGGTTTCGTGCGGCAAAAGTGCTTATACGGTATGTCCTGGGACCAATTTTGACGCACTGATGTCAGTACAACCGGCTTGTCAGTATGGCGAATGTCAGTGTGGCGCAAAACAGGGTGTAGAAAACACTGGTATGAATACGTGGCTGTCTGAATGAACTGTCAGATTTAAGCAGGTTTTGGGCTTATTGGCAAAACATGTTTCTCCCCAATCCCAATCGTCACCCTGACAACTGCAACTAGATCGCTGATAATCGTCCTGGCCCACCATTCTCTGATTGGCTGCAGATGTTCCTCTAGAGGACGCATACACTCTCGGATCCGCTTTTGCATTCGGTCACGTAAAATGGTCTTCTTCACATTAGCAGGTCTGGTTTTCTGTAAATGATCCTCAGGCCCTAAAGCGCGGGTCATTCCTTTGTCATTCAGGGCTCGTTCAAAGCGGTTTCGTACGGTTTACAACGTTTTGGATATTTTCAACTACCGGCTTGGACCATTACGCACCAGAACGAACCTTTCGAAGTCAGCTGTAAACGAACGAATATGACTGGCCGTAACGCCTGCAAGTGGGTTCACTACCGCCTGTGACCATTGCCCACCAGAACGTTCCGCTGCGCCACCCTTGTTTTGACCCATCGGATAGCGAGGCGTTACACCCACCCTAGTCTTCCACCTTTCCTAATGGCTTCCCCAAGGGCAGACTCGATTGCGCGAAAGCCCGCGAGCCCGTGGTTGAAAGCGGCTGCTGTCATCCTTCTCCTTGCCGCGTTGCTCGCCGCCTTGCTCGTCCCGCTCTTCCCCCCGTCTGACTCGTGTAAGCCAGAGCCGTGCGAGTAGGGACCTTGGCAGTGCAAGCTGCCAGTTATCCTCTCCTCTGCCAGTGTTTCGAGTTTCCATCACCGTGACGGTTACTACTAGTTGCTATGTTTCATGTGGTCCGGTTCTCACGAGTCATGGTGACATGTCCCGTTGGTCTGGGGAGCATTTGCATAGTGCGTCACACCACGCGGTTTCCTGCGTTGAGGGTGAGCTTCAAAGCCGGCTCCGATTTTTGGGCAGCGGTCGCCTACTTAAGTCGATGCATGCATCCGTTGCAAGTGGCACTTGCGTCGACGATCCACCCGCCCGTGCCTAACCCCTCATGCCTGTCCCTCTTCCACACGTCCCATCCCCTGATTCCTGCCAGCCGGCGGGGGACGCGCGTTGCTGTTGAGAGACGTCACGCGCGGCGCCGCGCTTCTACTACCACCCGATGCGCGCGCGCCATGGCAGCGCAGCGCGCTGGATGCGGCATCATGGCTCGCGGCGGACGACGTCTCCTCGCGGCCCGCGCGCTTCTACATCCGCAGTCACGGGTTTCCCGGCCCCGTACCGTGGACGTGGGTGCAAGGCGCGCTCCGCGACGAGTTCACACTGGGCGGCCGCATCCAGGTGCGGTCGCGGGCGCTAGGCGATGGGGCGAGGGTGGGAGGGAGAGGGATGGGAAGAAGACGGGGGTAAGGAGGAGACGGGGAAGGGAGGGGAGGGAAGGGGGGGAGGGAATGGGGGAGAGAGGGAGGAAGACATGGAATGGTGAGCTAGTGGTCACTGGTGTGTGTCACATGCCGAGGTATCACGGTACTTGTTCCCATACCGTGCGTCCCCCCAGGTGCGTCCGCGCTTCTTCGGCAAAGAAGCAGTGGACTCGGGCAAGCAGCTCAAGGCGTGGCGCAACGAGGAGATCGCTCACAACGTGAACCTCGCTCGCGCCCGCAATGCGAGCTTTGGGTCGTACGGGCCCAACGCCACGGCCGCATTCCTGCAGGCGTTCGAGCGCTACCCCGTGAGCGGCAAGTCCGTTCTCGTCATCGGCAGCCAGCGGCCGTGGGTGGAGGCGATCTGCCTCTCATTCAATGCAGGCACAATCACAACCGTAGATTTCAACAAGCCCGTCTCATCTCATCCTCGGCTGCGGCTGATGACAGTGGAGGAGCTGGAGGGCACGGACGAGGTGTTTGACGTGGTGGTGTCGTTCTCCTCGCTGGAGCACGACGGGCTGGGGCGCTATGGCGACCCCATCAACCCCTTCGGCGACCTGCAGCGCATGCAGAAGGTAAGAGGCGCGCATGCAGAAGGTAAGAGGCGCGCATGCAGAAGGTAAGAGGCGCGCATGCAGAAGGTAAGAGGCGCGCATGCAGAAGGTGAGAGGCGCGCATGCAGAAGGTGAGAGGCGCGCATGCAGAAGGTGAGAGGCGCGCATGCAGAAGGTGAGAGGCGCGCATGCAGAAGGTGAGAGGCGCGCATGCAGAAGGTGAGAGGCGCGCATGCAGAAGGTGAGAGGCGCGCATGCAGAAGGTGAGAGGCGCGCATGCAGAAGGTGAGAGGCGCGCATGCAGAAGGTGAGAGGCGCGCATGCAGAAGGTGAGAGGCGCGCATGCAGAAGGTGAGAGGCGCGCATGCAGAAGGTGAGAGGCGCGCATGCAGAAGGTGAGAGGCGCGCATGCAGAAGGTGAGAGGCGCGCATGCAGAAGGTGAGAGGCGCGCATGCAGAAGGTGAGAGGAGCGCATGCAGAAGGTGATGGCCTGCTGCTCAGATGGTTTCCTTTGCCATCAATTTTTGTGGTTTCCCTTGAGAAGCATGCTGTCTGCTACATGCCTGCATCGTGTTTTCATTCACGACTGCTCTGAATTGTTTAGAACTGACGTTGCCAGTTTGCCATAACGCAACACGCCTCATGAACTCCTGTTACAGCCACTATGCTTGCTTTGACACCACTGCAAAGTTTTTAAGTGATTGATGGTACTTCTCTGTTGGCTGGCATTATCAGTCCAAGCTGTCTTCCACGCATTATTCTTCCCACCAGATCCAGGGCTTGCTCAAACCAACAGGGAGGCTCTTCCTCGGCCTGCCAGTTGGCAATGACACTCTGGTATACAACTCACACCGCATCTATGGGCCTATCCGCATGCCACTGCTTCTTTCCGGGTGGACGCTGCTGGATGTGTTTGGAGCTAGCAGCTTGGAGCAACTGTACCGCGAGCATCAACATGCAGGATACCACCAACCACTCATCGTCCTGTCTAAGGGCAAATCACCCTAGCCTGGATTTGGCCCAGCTTCAGACTGCTCATTGAAGAAAAAACGACACACGCTTAGTTGCAACTGCCATTGTCATGGAAAAACGACTTGCTTTGCTTGCATACTTCGTACAAATGGTGGAGGGGTATTTTTTGGCCTCAGAAAAGTACTGACCGTCGTACGGGGTGAACCCCAGTGTAGTGAGTCTAGTCCGGGGTGTGTATACCAATTTGGGACCTTCAATGCCCATTTGTTTTTGCATGCTACCGTATTTGTATAAGGATTTTAGACGACTAATTACGGCAGTACCTGCACGTATAAAAGATGAAGTGTTTCTTCAGGGGGGTGAGGTCAGGGCTAATTTTATCTGTGTAAATCACCCTGATACCCTGATTATCAGGGTGGTTTTTGGTGGTCACACTGATGGCCTAGGGTAATTTTTTGGGGAGCTAGGATTTTCCTGATATGCCAGGGTTTACATTTAAGGCACACTGATGCCTCAGGGTTACCGTTCTTCATAACGAGTTTTACCCTGAAGCGAGTACCATACCCACCCCCCTCACTTCCCCCACCCCACCTTTCCCGTAACCCGGGATTCCCGATTGCCAACTGTCAAAACCGGAATTTCAGCCTGCTGAAGTAACTCACGACGAGCAACACCCATGTGGCATGTACCAGTAAAATGATCTAAAAAATTCATTGTGTGAAACGATAATATCAATTCATTAGGGTTTGCTAAACTGGTACACCAGGCCCTCAGATTCGTTTTTGGCCTGTCTGATTCGTCAGACTAGTACACAATTTTAGTCTGAAAATTCTCAGAATCCCAACCACTAGACCATTGGGATAAAAGGGCTTGTTTCAGTAGCGGGTCAGTGCGCCCATAACCCCCCAGGCAAATGTGCCTGTAACCCTTCCCTAGGATCGATCGGGGATCACCAGTGGACCTCTGACACCCCCCCGCACTGGGATGCCCGAAGTGCATACACCGGGATTCGAACCCGAGACCTTCGCTCTGGATACCATCTCAGAATCCCAACCACTAGACCATTGGGATAAAAGGGCTTGTTTCAGTAGCGGGTCAGTGCGCCCATAACCCCCCAGGCAAATGTGCCTGTAACCCTTCCCTAGGATCGATCGGGGATCACCAGTGGACCTCTGACAAAAATCTCAGAGTTGGTATAAAAAAAAGGCTGAAATTTCAGAGTGTCCTAAAAAAAAAGTCTGATCATTCAAAAACAATGTATTCAATGTTTCATCGGAATGTAATCAATGTTTCATTCATCTGCTACCAAAACACACAACACTAAGGGGATTTCCGATAAAACATGCTCTGACAGGGCGAATATATGTGTCAGGGCGAATCTTGTGGTGCGAAAGAGCGAATTTGCAATGTCAGGGCGAGTTTTCTGTGATTGGTCGAAAATTGTTGTGCTCTGACAGCGCAAATCTGTTGTGTCAGGGCGATTTTACTATGATTGGGCGAAACTCTTGTGCTGTAAGGCTCGGATTTGCTGTGTCAAGGCGATTTTGCGTTGACATTGCGAATCTGTTGTGACCCGTAAGTCCGAATCACCAGTCAAGGACGCGTTTGTACTCTGAATGATCAGAGTACACTCTTAGAAAACTCTGAACTCTCAAAGTTAGCCTTAAAAAAAGTATGAAAATTACAGAGTTTGGGCCCAAAAAAGTCTGATTTTAACAGAGTACACTGGAAAAAAAATCTGAAATATCAGAGTTTTTTGTGCAAATCAGAGAAAAAAGTCTGACTTCGTAGGGCCTGTGGTACACTGATGCCACAGGGTTGGATTTTCAAAAACAAGAAAAACACTGATGGATCAGGGTTTGAAGAAGGTGTCACACCAGGCCCTCAGATTCGTTTTTGGCCTGTCTGATTCGTCAGACTCTCTCTCAGTATTAGTCTGAAATCCTCAGAGTTGTCTAAAAAAAAAGTCTGAAACGTCAGAGTGTGTTTAAAAAAAAGTATGAAACTTTTAGAGTACACTCTGTCAAATTATAATATTGTGTAGGCTATAGTGGGGTAGTCTGTATGGGATACACATTTCTAGGGTTGCATATTTGTATCACTCCCATTCCTTAGTCAATTCATTCTCGTTCAACTTCTCTCATGGTATCGAGCAGGTTCCCCTGTGGGAACTGCGCCTAGGGCCCACCACTTCGATTTTTTTTTACTGCCCGAAGCGCGCTCATCCCGAGTCGTGCCTCGGGCTGTTAACTCGACGAGCCGCCCTAGCGGCCTTCCCTCCCCTAGCGGCCCTGCCGCCCTACTGTCGCGGCCCCGCCGCCCCTGATTCGCGGCCTCGCCGCCCTGCTTTACCGGCCCTGCCGCCCTGCTTTAGCGGCCCCGCCGCCCTACACCTAGCGGCCCCGCCGCCCTACACTTCGCGGCCCCGCCGCCCTGCTTTAGCGGCCCCGTCGCCCTACACCCCACGGCCCCGCCGCCCTACTTTAGCGGCCCCGCCGCCCTACACCTCGCGGCCCCGCCGCCCTGCTTTAGCGGCCCCGCCGCCCTACACCTCGCGGCCCCGCCGCCCTGCTTTAGCGGCCCCGCCGCCCTACACCTCGCGGCCCCGCCGCACTGCTTTCTCGGCCCCGCCACCCTTCATTTCACGGCCCCACCGCCCTGCTTTAGCGGCCCCGCCGCCCTTCCTTAGTGGCCCCGTCGCCCTGCTTTAGCGGCCCCGCCGCCCTGCTTCAGTGGCCCCGCCGCCCTACACTTCGCGGCCCCGCCGCCCTGCTTTAGCGGCCCCGCCGCCCTACACCTCGCGGCCCCCACCGCCCTTCATTTCGCGGCCCCGCCGCCCTGCTTCAGCGGCCCCGCTGCCCTACACCTCGCGGCCCCGCCGCCCTGCTTTCGCGGCCCTGCCGCCCTGCACCTGGGGCAACGCCGCCCGTCTGCTGCGGCCCTGCCACTCTCCTCTCCTGACCGCCACCCGAGCCGCCGACCGCAGCACCACCCTGCAGCATGCACCCGAGCAGCCGACCGCCGCGCCGCCGAGTACCGGAGGAGCCGGGCCACCCAGCTGCAGAGCCGCCCGGCCGCCCACCAGCCGAGCCGCCGTTCAGCCGAGCCGCCCAACAGCCGAGCCGCTGTGCAGCCGAGCCGCCCAGCAGCCGAACGCCGAGCCGCCGAGCCGCCCAGCAGCCGAGCGCCGAGCCGCCAAGCCGCCCAGCCGCCGAGCCGCTGTGCAGCCGAGCCGCCCAGCAGTCGAGCGCCGAGCCGCCGAGCCGCCCAGCCGCCGAGCCGCCCAGCAGCCGAGCCGCCCTACTACCGAGTAGCCCGACCTGCCCTGTCCGGTGAGCGCAGCCCCACTGTCACTGCGTGCCCTTCCCCTACTGCTTGCACTGCTAGTCTATCGTCGTCATGGCTACCCCTAGTGTCCTCACTTTTAACGCTGAGGGTCGAGCCATTGACTTTGAGGTCTGGGTTGACGACCTGCAGCTGTTTTTACAGTGCGATAGGGCGGACGGTCTTTCTCTCTTTGACCTCACCTCTGGCGCCTCTCCTGCCCCTGCTACTGACGCTGACCCCACTGTTCGCTCTCAGTGGGCCACCCGCAATGCTGCTGCACGTCTTGCTGTGCGTCGCCACCTGCCTACCACTGAGCGCGCGCACTTTAGTCAGTACAAGAGTGCTCAGACCTTGTACGACGCTGTAGTTGCGCGCTACTCTTCTCCTGCCACTGCTGCACTGAGCCGCCTCATGCTACCGTACCTCTTTCCTGACCTTGCTGCTTTTCCCACAGTTGCCGACCTCATTACGCACCTCCGCACTAGTGACACTCGCTACCGCGCCGCACTTCCTACTGAGTTCTGCGCCAAGAACCCTCCCCCCATGTACATCACTCTCTATTACATAGTCACACGCCTCCCTGACTCCCTTCGCGTAGTCAGGGACCACTTTCTCTCAGTCTGTCCCACCACTCTCACTGTTGACCTCCTCGAGAAGGCCCTCCTGGCGGCGGAGAAGAGCATCGTCGCTGTAGGAGCCTCTCGGGGTAACCCTCGCACCCCCATCTTTGAGGGGTGTTCTCCTTCCCCCCTGCTGCCCTCTGTTGCCTCTGGTGCTGCTGTTGACCTGCTTGGTCTTGAGTCGGTCGGCGCGGCGTCTGCCCCTAGCGGGAGACGCCGACCTGGCAAGGGCAAGGGGGGCAAGGGCGCGGGTGGAGCTCGCGGGGGCGGTGGAGGTGGCGGTGGAGGCGGCGGAGGGAGTGGGGGTGGCGGTGGGAGTGGTGGCGGGGGCGGTGGTGGTGGTGGCGGCAGCGGAGGCGGAGGCGGTGGCGGCGGCAGCGGTGGGAGCGGAGGCGGCGGTGGTGGCGGAGGTGGAGGCGGCGGTGGCGGAGGGGGTGGAGCTGGTCGGGGTGGTGCCCCGCAGCGGAGCGGCTCTGGTGGTGGTCAGCGCCAGCAGCAGCAGCAGCAGCAGCGTTCTCGGGACATCCCCCCGCCTCAGCAGCTCCGTGAGTGGTACGCGCAGCGTCAACGTGGTGGGGGTTTTGGTCCGTGCACCTACGTCCTTCGTTCCGGCGACCGCGCGGGTGAGCAATGTGGGGGTGCCCACCCCACCCAGCGCTGCTTTGGCCGCCTGACGGACGCTTGGCGTCAGCAGTTCCCCGAGGCTAGTGAGATTCCCCGCTGGGGAGAGCTATCTAGGGCTGGCGTAGCTATCTTTGATCTTGACTTTGATGCTATCCTTGCTGCCATGTATGCTGTGACTATTAGTGATGAGGGTGACTGTTAACGATGTTTCCCGCCCGACCCGGGCATTGGTACTGCTGCGCTAGGTGCTTGTGAGGCTGCTGCTCTAGGTGCCAGTGCGTCTGCGCTCTCAGGTACTGGTGAGGCTGCGCTCTTAGGTACTGCGTTGGCTTCAGCCTCCCTCACCTTCACACTTGACTCAGGGGCTTCTCGCTCCTTCTTTCGAGACCGCACCACACTCACGCCGCTTGGTCGGCCGGTTGCAGTCTCCCTGGCTGACCCCTCTGGGGGCCCTGTCCTCTCTCA